ACAGCAGAAAGTCAAGTGCACCGTCGGCACCTCCCTCACCCCTGTCCTGCCGGACCTGCTGTCAGCTCGCCCAGGGTGTCTGGCTGCCTCCTTCTACCTTCAACACATTGTCCTCAGCCTTGACGTTACTTTTCTGAATTTCCCTCCCCACCAAGACCCTCCTGTTCTCAGGTCTCCTCACGCTCACTTCTGATGGGGTCACCCCATGGATGCATGCGTTTCCTCCACAATCCCTTGGAAGCCACCTCCACCTCCACTGCAGAACGGGGGGACTGTGGCCACAGAGTTCACTCGGACCTCAGACGACATTCACGTCCCAGGGGAGGTGGAGGCAAGTGCTCCACTCAGACCAAGCAGCAGCTTGGCTGACTCCCACCTCCTTGCTGGTGCCTCCACCAGCGCGCCCCCTACACACACACACCGCTTATTGCTAGTGACGTAATATATGTGCTTCATAATCAAAGAACCATGAGCTCCCTTTGCCCCTGTGCCTGGGGGATATCATTTTTCCTTTACCTGGAAAAGCCCCCTCTGATCGCTCTCCTTCAGCTGCCAGGCCCTCAGGCTTATTGGCAGTTGATGAAATTGCAACAGATCTGACGCTGGGAGATGTTTCTGCACTGTGTCGTTGGGGTCACGTGAGAGGACATACCGTGCACACTGATGGTTCTCCAGGATCCTTCTTCCTAACCAGGAACAGCAGAGCTTCCTCCATTCCACTCTTCTTCTTGAAAGACTTTCTCAGCCAGCGCGCCTCTCACTTCACTGTGAGTCACCTGGAGAGTGTTTAAAGATACGCATTCTGATTCAGTAGGTCTGGGGTAGGGTGATGCTGGCCCCTCGACCACCCTTGAAGGAGGAGGCCCCGGTTGTCCCGAGGCCTTACCCATCTCAGGAAACGACATGATCTCACCGTGTTCTTCATCTGTTCCTGTTGATGTTCACAGTGTTCTGCAAACTCACTAGAGTTTGGTGCCCCCAAGCCTCCATGATCCAGTCCTGTGTGAACGAAGGGAGTACACTGCTGACCAGAAGATGCTCCGGGATGTCACTGTCAGCAGTTCCCATTGAGGCAGATCTCCGAAGGATCATTCTTCAGTTTGGGTCCATGGTTGCGGCTATTGTTGGTGCTGTCCAACTCCGGAGACTCATCTCCAGCCCATAGTAGATAATGTTCTATTGTGACCCCTAAGGTTTTCCCTGGCTAGTTTTCAGAATGAGGCCCCCACCCTTTTTTTGTCCTAATCTGAACCCGGAAGCTCCACTGACACCAGGCCACCATCAGTCACCTGCTGGTCTGAGATATACTAGTGACACAGCTTCGGGCAACGTGAAAACCAACAAACAGATGGACACGGGATGGAGCAAGCAGCTCCCTCTCCCTCCATGCAGTCTTCAAAAGCCACGCTACTAAAACTGAGACCACCTGCTCAGCAATAACAAGCCTGGCTTCATGTCATAATCCAACTTTTTCTTATACTCTAATATACACCTATCGTATCTGTCATGTGTGAATAAAGGATGGAAAATAAGCTGCAGTCTCTTTACAAGACAGGTGAGAGGGCAAGAATAGCAACGTGTCTAGAAAGCATGTGCTCCATCATGAGAGGTCTCCTGTGCTCTACCAAGGGGTGAGAGTCGATCAGAAATGCCACTCTCGGACAAAGGTGCTGCAGAAGATTTTTAAGCAGGAGTGGCATGCCCACGGTTACACTTTTAAAAATACAGAGAGGTCAGCAATGGTGCTGGTCAACACGCAGGTCACGGGAGCTCCGAAGAACAGCTATGGTGAAAGTCATTCTTAGGCTTCTGTGACCCATGGTATTTAGAGAGGACAAGGAAGCAAAGTTGGCTTTTCCCAGCTCGAACAACTTGGTAGGAATCAGAAAGGGGGCGGTAAGTTGATGTGCATGTACTGAGCTTGGGCTGTTTATCAAATATCCAAGTAGAGATCTTCATGGAACAATTGAGTGCATAGATTGGGGGCTTAAAAGAAAACTTTGCTAAATACTATCAATTTTAAATTCTTCAGTAAATAGGGTCACTAAGAGTCATGGTGGTATCATCTGGGGTAGGGGACAGAACCTAAGATGGAGAAAAATAGTTAAATTGTAGGTAGAAAGAGGGGATACTCAATGTATTCACTAAGTCTAAAGGAGACATTCTCTGAATGAAGGGCAGTGATATCAAAATGTACCAGAAAGAACACAAAAATGTGCATTGAGCATTGACTGGTACCTTTTGGAACTTGATTGCCAGGCAATCCCTGGGGTCCCAGGAACCAACAGTTACAGTATGGTGATGAGGAGGCTGTAGGGCTGATAGGGACACCTGGCTCCTTCAAGAATTCCCAGGTAACCAATAGAGAGAGAGGTCTGCAGGGCCAGCCCCAATCCTAACTATGTGGACACCCTCTTCCCCCTCAGAAGAACGCACTTGGGAGGACAGCACTGGGGCTACAGCTGGGAGGAAGGGTGTGTTAGATTCTAGCACAAGGGAGAAGTACAAAAGGATGGAGAGGGAGGAGAAGAAATCCTGGACCCACCAAGCCTGGAGGACAATATTCCTGCTCAGAGCAGACAATGCACAGAGGGGACCATAGGGCCAGCCCCACTATGAGACACGATGTCCCTCACGAAACCTTAGTGCTGTGGGGGACAACACTGGAGAGACAGTGTGGGAAAAGTGCACAATCTGACCCTGTCGTGCTAGGGCAAAACACTAAGGCCATGCAACAGAGCAACAAGGGGAGCAAAGTGATGCAATCCCCGGGGAATACCAAAAATAGACTTTAGAGGCAATGTGTGGCACCCCATCAGACTCCACTAGAAAACACAAAGTCCAACAGACTTTGAACTATCTGTAGGCGTTTCCATTTTTGTCAGTGGCTTTCTATTTGTTATTTTTATTTTGTTTTGGGTTTTTTTTTTAGTTATTTGGGCTTCCTTTGTTGTTTTATTTGGCTTTGCCAGGTTTTGCACTTAGTAATGTATCTGCATGTCTATCTAGATAAGATGGGTGGGATAAATAATTTGGAGATGAAAAGAATGGGACCAATGGTTCCAGGGGGGTGGGGGGGATACAGAAGAAGGGGGGTGAGAGAAAGGAAGGGGGGTGGGAAACCAACCCAGGGACAAGGGAACAAGTGAACTAAAATCAATGGAAATAAAGATGTAGAATGCCTAGTGGGGCTTAATCTAAGGCAATAAACCAGAATGAAGGCCAAACATGATGGTGGGACAAAAGGAAAGTAAAAGGAAGTAGAGGAAAGAACCTGGAGGTAAAGGACATTTATAGAGGTCTAAATACAGTCATGTGCATATGTAAATATATACATAACGAGAGGAATAGAACTATGTACTCATACCTATATAATAAGAATTAAGGTTGCAGATGGACATTGGGCCTCGACTCTAGTACTCCCTCAACACAAGAACACTTTGTTCTAACAACCTGGCATTCTGTGATGCTCACCTTCCCGACACGATTGCTGAAGACTAAAAAGGTACATAAGCAAATGTGGTGAAGAAAGCTGATGGTGCCCGCTTATCAAAAATCTGGGGTCTTAAAGGCCATCTAGCTCAGAAGCACACCAGCCTGTGTGATCATGAGGTGTCGATGGGATCAGGTATCAGACAGCTAAGACCAAGAAAAAAATCATACCCGATGTGAATGAGGGGGTGGGACATGGAGTGGAGATCCAATGTCCATCTGTAGATAAATGGACATCCCCTCACAGAGGGGTCACAGTGAAGAGATGAGTCAGTCAGGGTGCAGAACAGCACTGATGAAACAGACAGCTTTCCTCTAGTTCTTTGGTGCTTCCTTCCCCCCCACTATCATGACCTCAGTTCTATCTTACAAATCGGGTTAGACTAGAGCATGCACACTGCTACAGACAAGAGCCTGAAACACAGGGAATCCAGGATAGACAAACCCCTCAGGGCCAACAATGAAAGTAGTGATACCAGGAGGATTAGGGGAGGGTGGGCGGAGAAAGGGGGCATCGATCACAAGGATCAATCTAGAACCCCCTCCCAGGGGGACGAACAATGGAAAAGTGGGTGAGGGGCAACAGAGAATGATGCAAGATGTGAAAATAATAATCTACAACTTATCAAGTGTTCATGAGGAAGGGCGGGGGGGAGAGGAGTAAGAAATGGGGAGCTGATATCGGGGGCTCAAGTGTGAAGAGAATGCTTTGAAATGATGATGGCAGCAAATGTGCTCGACACACTGGATGAATGTATGGATTGTGATAATCCATACGGTTTGCAGTAAGAGCCCCTAATAAAAGTACGGGGGGAAAGGAAGAATTCCCAGGTTTGGTGTCCAGGAGGCAGCTCTGACCTTGCTCCCTGGCCCTTGTGCTTTTCTAAAGAGGGGTATCCAACTGGACTGCTCAGGAACCTGTTTGAGCATATGGTGAAACCTGGAGCCTCTTAGCAGAAAACTGTCAATTCATGCAATATGAGGGGGCTTCAAAAAGTTCATGGGGAAAATGGAATAGAAAACGAATGGATTTTTCTACCAGACTTCTTTTAAGCCCACTCCTATTTCTTAGAGTTATCACCACCACCACCCCCAATCTGTATACCACTATAGGGGTCCCAACTTAAGAGCCTCTGTTGTACTAAAGTAGCAGAGGTTGACCAAGGGTTTCACAAGCATCGTTGTTGGGGTGTTGACAAGGACAGGAGCTGTCCTCCTTCCCATGCTGGCCGTACTCATGGAGATTACTACCCTCTGCCCAGAGTTAGCAGAGCCAGACCCTAAGTCTGCTCTCACTCAGCAGCCCTGGGTTTAGCATGAAGAAAACAAAGGCAGGGAAGAAACAATGGACTTGGGTGGATTGTGCAAGAAAACAATAAGGCAAACAACACTCCAGACTGAAGTGGGGGAAGAGGCTTTGTTTAAAGAATGTCTGCGTGGCATCAAAGGCCCAGAACAAAACATCACACTTTGAATGAGGGGGAGTGTGGAGTGGAGACCCAAACCCATCTGTAGGCAACTGGACTTCCCCTTACAGAAGGGACCCAACGAAGAGATGAGCCAGTCAGGGTACAGTATAGCACCGATGAAACATACAACTTTCCTCTAGTTCTTGAATGCTACCCCCACCACCAATATCATGATCCCAATTCTATCTTACAAATCTGGCTAAACCAGAGCATGTACACAGGTACAGATAAGAGCTGGAAACACAGAGAATCCAGGACAGATAAAACCCTCAGGACCAATAATGAGAGTAGTGATACCAGGAGGGGGAGGGGAAGTTATGGAGAGAAAGGGGGAACTGAACACAATGATTTACCTATAACCCCCTCCCTGAAGGATGGACAACAGAAAAGTGGGTGAAGGGAGACATGAAAAAATAATAATTCATAAATTATCAAGGGTTCATAAGGGAGGGAGGGGAAAAAATGAGAAGCTGATACCAAGGACTCAAGTAGAAAGAAAATGTTTTGAAAATGATGATGGGAACAAATGTACATGTTTACACAATGGATGGTTGTATGGATTGTGAGACAAGTTGTACGAGACTCCAATAAAATAATTGGGGAAAAAGCTTGAATTAAAAACAAAGAATGCCAGCGCTACGTCAGCACAAGGGAGAGTGCAGCAGCGGGTCTCTCTGTCACTGTGCTTACTGAACCTGGATGTGCAGACCCTGGGCTGTGAAGGAACACAGGATCGGAGGAAAGCGTCAACAACCTGCAATACGCAGATCGCACCGTCTCGCTCGCCGAAAGCGAGGAGACTTAGAGCCCTGGCTAATGAGCTGCAAAGACCGGAACCTTTGGTCGGGCTTGCAGCAAAATGGAAAGAAAACTAGTGTCCTCGCAACTGCACAACTAAACAGCTTCACGACAGACAGGGAAAGGGTTGCGGCCCTCCAGGGTTTCACTGCACTTGGAGACAAAACAAACAGACCACATGCTGAATTGGGGGAATCTGCTGCACAAGACCTCTTTCAAGGGTTACAGAGCAAAGAGGTCGTTTTTTCGTAATGAAGGCGTGCCTGGCTCCAAGCCATGTTATTTCACTCGGTCCCCTCCTATGCATGTGAAAGCTGGACACAGAGTAAAGAAGCACGGAAGAACGGATGTGTTTGAATTATGTTGCCAGTCAAGAATAGTGAGAACACCAGGGACTGCCCAAAGGACAATCTGTGCACAGCCAGATGCAAGGATGGCCCGACAGTGTCTCGTACATGTTACCTGAAGGAGACATCCTGCGTGGTGAAGTCGGGGGCTGGTGAAAAAGAAGACCCTCCATGAGACAGACGGACAGTACTGATTCTGTTGTACGTAGAGATGCTAGGAGTCAACCGGCTCAATGGCGCCTAACAACAAACTCAAAACGTACCGCTATCTCGCTGGCACGTCCTTCTGGGGTTCCTTTTCAGCTGCGGCGTCCACCCACCGAGGCTGCAGAAGGGGTGGGGCTCCAGCCCTGGACTTGGCTAACATTGTGGATTTCTTTTCTTTCCCAGTGCAGTGGGCCCTGCATTGGGCCTCGCCTCGCCGTGCAGCACAGGCAGGTCTTCTGCCAGACACGGGATGGCATCCCCTTGCCATCAGAGCAGTGTAGCGCTCTGCCAAGGTAAGAGAAAGCAGCGTTAGTGAAAACCCCACCCCCGAGCTGGCTGACTCAGTGATGGCCCTGTGCTTGAATGGACCTCCATGCCTTCCCTCATTCTCTCCAGGTGGTTGGCATGTCCAGGAGCCCTGCTCTAGCCCTCAGTGCCTCCCCCTGTTGATCTCCCTCCAGCAGTTAGGCTGGAGAGAAAGCCCTTGTCTCTGGGTCTCAGTCTGTCATTCCTGCTCAGCCTTGGGTCATAAAGTGGCAGAGCCCTGGTGCAGATGGAGGGTCAGAGTTCAAGCACAAGGCCTTATCGAGGTCTAATTGCCCTTCACCAACAGAACCTCAGAATCCACACTGAAAGCTCTTGGGAAGTTGGCAGTATGGTTTTCACATCTGCCCCCTCCTCCCACAGGCCCGTGAGCACCCAAAACTGTTGGTCTGAGGCCTGCAGCGTCCACTGGAGGGTCAGCCTGTGGACCCTGTGCACAGCGACCTGCGGCAACTATGGCTTCCAGTCCCGGCGGGTGGAATGTGTGCACGTCCGCACCAACAAGGCCGTGCCCGAGCACCTGTGCTCCTGGGGGCCCCGACCGGCCAACTGGCAGCGCTGCAACATCACCCCCTGTGAAAACAGTATGTTCCAACCCCAAAGAGCCTTCTGCAAATACCCCACAGGGCAGCAGCTCCAGAGGGTCGCCCCTGGGACCAAGCCTAAGCATAGGACATTCGACCAGGGGCCCCCAGGCTTGTGAGTGGGGCCAGAATAGGGCATTTTCAGAGGCATGCATGTGTGCAATGAGATAGGCACGCTTGTCCAGGTGACAACCGAAAGCTGGATGTGCTTCCACGTTCTCCATCTGGCCCAGAGAGGGCCCAGTGCTACTGGCCAAGGGCTGGCTGACCCCAGCGGTGTGTGGGGCCGGAGCCCACGGGGAGGACCGGACCATGGCGCCCCAGGCCAGGCTCACGAGAAAGCACCATTGCTACGCAAGAAGCTTGCAGAGTGGCTGCCACGCCACCCACCTGGCTTCTGCTCTCACCGAACCAGCGCATGGGCACTTGCCGGAACTGAGCAGGAACCCACACCCCCGGGGTTTGAGAAGCCAGTCAATCCCTCCTTCCTCACCTCTGGCGCCTACCCTGGCCAACCCTGGCTTTCATAGATCCCCTTCGGGTGGGATCTGTTTTCTCTTCCTCCGGGTCCCTCCAGCCTACTGATGGTGCTTCCTCACCAGGAAGAGAACAATGCCTAGGTCAGAGCAGGAAGTTCAAAACAAACATGAGGCAGCGTCCTCCAGGGGGGCTCCGGAGCCACAGGCTGGTTATTTCCATCCTGGGGCGGCCGGGAGAGGGGAGGGTGGAGACATGGTCTTTGTACCATGGAGCTGACGAACTTCGGACATCAGATTCCATAGACCGAGTCAGCAGCAATCCTGAGCTAGAGCACCCAGTGCCCTAGTAAGGGCCTGTGGGCAGGGGCGCAGGAGCAGAGCAGGTTAGGGCCAGCATCCAGGGCCCGACACGCCCCAAGGAACATTGCAAATAGAGCAGAATAGGTCCTTCTGGGAGCCCAGAGAAGAGACACAGTGACCTAGGAGGTGCGGGGGTCCAAGGAGAGGGAGAGAGGAACCCCCTCTGGAAAGAGGATGGGAGATTAGAAAGGAAGCTGTGGCCACCTGGGTGCAAGCTGGAGCCACCACCCCCCCTACCCAGCAGGGGCCCAGTCCATCCCTCACTCTGTTTCACCTCTCCTTTCTGTCCCCTTCCCCAGCGGAGTGCAGAGACACCACCAGGTACTGCGACAAGGTGAAACAGCTGAAACTCTGCCAGCTCAGCCAGTACAAGTCCCGCTGCTGTGGAACGTGTGGCAAAGTGTGAAGACAGGGCTGGGGAAGACTGCCACCCGGGCCACACACACAATTCCCATCCCCCCTGGGGGCAGGACTGACCGAAGCTTTGTTTGTTTTATTTATTTCTCCCTTCCCAGCCCTGCCCCATTCAGGAGGTTTTCTTTCAGTGAGCCCAAGAAGACGATGTTGGAAAGCATGGTGGTCTATAGGTGTTACAGCGGAAACCAGCAGCTCCCAAACGTGGGTCCCAGGGCATCCTGGGGAGAGGAGGGGGGATGCGCCAGCACTAGACTAGGTTTGGGTGGGGAGAGGTAGCAGAGGGTGTGTGAGGGGTTGCTACAAACTTTTCCGGGAGCTCAGTCCTGATAGGAGGCCCATGCTGGGCAGAGAGAGCAGGGCTGACACCCTCTCGGGATGCAGGAAGGACAGGAGGAAGGACAGGGCCTCAAAGCAAAAAGAAACCTCTACACATTCATCGGCGAGAAAACCGAGGAGGGAAACCTATAGAGCTCCACTGGGGCCACACCGTCCAGCAAAGCAAGAGGGGAGCAGGCTCCGAATCCAGAGTGGCCCAGGGCCATGTTGAAGCACCAGTAGACCAGGCTCTCTGCTTGTCTGGCCGTAGCTGTTCTGCTTAAGGGATAGAGATTGGGTTCAATTTGCCAAGGAATGTCCATTTCCTTCTGGGATAGGACAGGATCGATCACGGGCTTGTACACTGGGCCAGTCTCTCCCCTAACAGCATGGACACTGGCACCAAGGTCTGGTAAGAGCAAACGATGATGGAGCTGTGGGCACAGCCTCAAAAGCCTAACCAACGTCCAAGACAGGCCTCAAAGGCTTGTTGCACCCACCCCGCCCCCCAGCAGTACTCTCAGCAATGGTGACACGGCTGTAGCACAGTTAGGTTACAAGATTATTACAAATCGGGGAGAGTTCAGCAGAGCGGCTTTGGGTGAGTGGGTTTTGGCTCCCCCTGGGACATGACCAGAAGGAAGTACGACTTGGGAGAGTCGACCTTGTCCTCTAGTGTCCCTGTGCATGGGAACGCACAGCAGAGGGATGTGAAGACAGGTTAGGAGCTCACACTGGGCCTCAGTCACTCATTCTAAGCTACCCCTTCTCCCCACGCCCCATACACACTCATGAAACGCCCCTGCTATCGGGGCTGTGTGCGTGTGCTCTGTGGCTTAGAGGAAGACAGTACTGAGGTGTGCTCGCCCCAGCTGAGTCTCTCTTCCTCCGCCCCACGTAAAAATGGGCTCCAAGATAATCTTGCTCAAAAAAAAAAAAAATCAGTGTAATGTTTATTTAAAATAAAAGAGAACGTTTTCTATGTCTATATATCTTTTGTGAATATTTATTAGGATTTCTTGTATAAAAAAGTGCAATAGTAGCCATTGTACATTGTTTTCCAGAATAAAACTATCGGGGGGACTTTGTGTTCCTGGAAGCTCTCGGGGTTGATGATTGTAACTGTCCCACTCTCAGCAGAGGTGGATGTTTTCACTGTGGGTCAGGCGCATTGTAAAAG